AAAAATACTGGGAATTACTTCAAGGTTAATCTGCCTCCCCACCCCACAACAAAAAAAAAAAAAAAAAAATCTGGCACTCTGTTTGAAAGTTACCAGGATTCGTTGAGACTCACTGAGTTTTGGTCCTTTTCTACCAGACCAGGCAGGGTGCCAGGTCCGAGTGACTCAGGCCAGTCTGAGCCCGAGTCACTGGTTCTTAAATCATTGTATTCAAGTGTTATGGCCCATCGCTGTACCAGTGTAATTGCAAGTTGGTGCCTCCCTGGGGAGTTAGGTTTATGGATCTATTTGGTGCCTAGGCCAGTCAACCCATGACTGGAAAAGTGACCGGACTTAGTAATTTTTAGTTGTTCATTTTGAAAAAGTGATGGGTTTACCTCTTGAAATTAACTCTTGATATTGTTCTGTGTTCTTTCTGGTGTCTGGCTGGCCGGCCTCAAAGACCCATTTGATTGAACTATGCCCTATTAATATTTCTCGGAGATGAAATAATCAGTTTAAGATTGGAGTGGTAACTAGTCGTTGCTCAATATTTAACCGTGACTACATGTTCGTCAAAATGGCTAGCTTGTCTATATTATATCAGGAAGATAACAACTTGAAAACTATTACAGAGCGTACCTTTGGTAGGTCATGGACCTGTCGGCTTTCTGGCTGTCAAGAAAATGAGAACTATCATTTAGTGAATTTTGCCACGTGAGAGGGTTGCGACTGGACCTTGGTGCTGCTCCCTTAATATAATACCGTATTTTTAAATTGTTCAAATAATATACTAAATACCATCTAGTATTGGTAATTTGAATAGTATGCATCTCAACTGTTGGTATACTTTTTCATGCGCCAGATCTTTTTGCTTCATAACCTATTTTATAATCTCTTAGGAGATGGCTTTTAGTATTTTATTCTTCCTTCTCAACCTTTGAAATTTGGAAATTGGGTATAACTCCTAAATGGTATCCTTTTATGGCAATTTTTTTATTAACAAATTGCTAATTGTGAGAATTTAACAGTGAAGAGGCTGCATTTCTCTTAGGATGGTTAACCTTTTAGCTTCTTAAGTAGCACTTTGATTTGAAATGTAATTCGTTCTCCTCAGTGGACTTGCCTCTTTGACCGGATGACTTTGAACATATTGACGAACTAAAGGAAAATAATTTTGATAATTGGCTAAGCAATTTTACTCCTGTTCAGTGCTTCCTTCTAAATTGCTCTTTCTCTGCTGTTTCTTGTAAACCATCTCGCTCATAAGTACGTCCTTGAAGCGATCAGTTCCATGGGCACCTCTGTTGCCTTAGGAAACTTAACTTCGATGATGTTATAAAGTGTGACTCTGGGATTCTTTTTATTGATGTTGTTTCCCTGGATGAAGGCACCGTATTCATCTGTATGGTCTCTTATGACTTGTCTATAGACAATGGGGATGGTCTTAATGCTATGAGGTCAAGTCAAATTTCTTTTTTAGCTTTTTTAAAATAAGGATCAAATTTCTTTTTTTGCTTTTTTAAAATAAGGATCAAATTCGTTTTTTGGCTTTTTTAAATCAAGGGTGGTGTTAAACCATGCATTTAAAACAAAAAATGGCACTTGGAGTATGGGGTTGAGCATGCAAAAGGGATCTAGTTACTTCGTACCTTACATTTTAACCCTATGTAATCATTCTAATTGCTTACAATCCACCTTTGTTTGCTAAGCACCAGAAAACTTTACTTGGAGTTCTTTATTAACGGTGGAGCTCTATTGGAGTCTCCTCCTACTAAGCACCATGTAATAATAAGATATTGAGCGTTATCATCTTTTTACCTGCACAATGTATACTTACTATTTGGAACCTACTATTTCTCTTGATTGAAGAGAAGTGTATTAAATCCATTAAAGAAAATATGTTCAGTCATTGAGTGTCCGTCAAGTTAAATCAAGTGGTATGATGTATTTTTGTGTAATAAGGTAAAGGTTAGCATCATCCGAGGCATATCTGATAAAAATGATGGCATTAAAAAGCATTAATTTATTTTGACGGGGATAGTTTGTGAGTAAAGACGTGGTGTTACTTTGATTTGTTCCTCACCTTTAAATTGTGCATTACGTTAGCCATGAATAATTTAGTCTTTCACTCTCTGTTCCTTGTTTGAAGAGAGCAGATGTTCCACATTCATTTGGACTAAACGTTTTTTTTTTACTACGATGCTTGATCTCTATTTCATTTTAATTTGAATTACATTCTTCTTGTATCAGGAAGGTTTGGCTCCGATAAGCTTGTTGGTTGATACTGAGTTTCATCGTGCCACTCGAGGTGGGACTGGTGGTGTAAAGACAATAGGAAACTATGCAGCAGTAAGGAAGCCTTACATTAATCTTTCAGTTTCCACCTGTTATTTTTCCTTATTTTGCACCTATTTTTTCCTTTTCAAATATTAAGAACTGGACTAGATGCATGATACTTTGAAGTTTGTTGCTGTTATAGTTGTCTACTTTATCAAGTGGAATCCTTGAGGCAGTATGATTCTTATAGCCATTCCTGTTAGTGTGTTGTCTCCTTGGTCATTTTAGCATGGGTACCTTCCCAAGAAACGTTTTGATCTCATCATTTTTGCCTGATCTTTGACTATAATATTTTGCAGATTTTGGCTTCTTGGTATTTTTTGCTGTATTATGTCTCTAATATCCATTAGAAAGTTTTGCTTAGTAAGATTTGGGTGGATTATTCTTTCTCAAGTCTTACTAATGATTAGAAATAGGAAATTCAGTATCTAAAGTTAGATACCTTTTCATACGAAGATGTACAGATTAAGAAGAATATTATTAATGTTTAAAGGTTCTTTTGAAGTTACGTGGTTATACAGGATCGTTGGCTTTGTAAACTAATTGTTTCTAAATCTCCACAAAATGGCTTTAACATATTGTTAGTCAAGCAAATATCAGTTGGCATGAATGGGTTAGAGTTAAATGGCTGAAGAAAGGTGACAAAGGCACCAAATGCCTTCATAAGATTTGCCATCTTTGTCACAAATATAATTGGCAATCTTATGATAAGAAACTTAGGTGTTAGGTTCTTGAATATATTTAGAGGCACAAAGAAAAAATGCCAGTGAAGGAACTATTCTTTCTGAAGTGTTTGGCTGGTGAATAATATTATGCTAGAGGCTGTTCATCAAAGGGGCGGCAAGCCCCTTTCTAAGGTACGCCCTAAAGGAATTGCAACTGAATGGAAGTCCCTCCAGACGCTGGGCCACAAGTAGCCATCTCAGGATTATCAAAGCACTTACGTGGTGAGGGCGGCGAAGCACTTACGAGGTGAGGGCGGCAAAGCACTCTCAAACTTGTGCTTTGCCGCCCCCTAACGGAGCGAGTGCTTTGATGTGTAGCACAGGAATCTAAGCACCCTAAACAATTGGAAGTTGCTACCACTAGCAAAGCAAGAGCAAAAAGCCCTCGTTGTTGAGGGCTTTGACAAGAATTGGCCAATGGCTTGTGTAGAAGAGGCTCCCAATAGTTTAGAGGGCTTTGTTTGCTTGTTGTTACCACTGGCTTTGCTCGCCACTGGCTGCTAGGCTACACATCTTCTCGCTTGGAGCTTCACAAGAGCAAAAAACCCTCATCAGCTTGGGCTTTGACAAGACTTGCCTATGGCTCCTTTTTCTCAGTGTCCTCCAACAGATAGAGGCCCAGCCTCCAATGTTCGATCGCGGTGCTGGAGTGGCAGGTCTATAGACACCATGCGCAGGAGTGGCATACAGCTTCGGACCTAAGGGGCCAGCCTTAACCTCCGTGGGATCCCTGCACCTTGTAGCTGCGGCGACAGGCCTCCGGCTTCCTGTCCGGGGACGGAGGTCCTGCAGTAGATAGCGGCAGAAAGGAACACTAAACTGAGACTGACAGTACGATTACTCCACTGTAGGACATCCGCAGCGGGGGAAGAGAGGACCAGACAGACCTTTGAATGAGGTTGTTTTTGGATTTCCTATCCGGGCACTGCAGGACGAGAGGCATCTAAGTTCGCTTCTACCAAGCCCTGCCGCACCCTGTCTGGTTGATTGATGCTACCTAAAAGCGGGTGTGATTTGGATGGCTGAAAATCAAGAAAGACAAATGTTCCTTGTAAAGTGAAATTTCTGGGAAATTTCAAGAAACATTGAAGTATTTCTTCTCCAGTGCATGAGAACCTATGTTTTCTTAAAGAACTTGGATTTGATTGAATTAGTAGTCGATTATTTTTGTCTTCATTAATAATTGTGCTCCCATCATGGGTCGTTGGTTCAACCTATTATAAAAAAAAAGTTTGATCAGTGTTTTATTTGAAGTGGCATGCCCTAGGTGTTCAGGGTGTTCGCTGGCCTGAGGACTGCGGGTGGGCAACCTGGGGTTGCATGCAAAAAAAATGAGGAAAAATAAATTTCATTGAGAAGAAGTCCAATGCTACTTCCTAGATGTGTGTCTGAAGTTAGGTTGGCAGTGGTGCTCCTTGGCCTAATTGGAGCATAATCCCACTGCAGTTGCATCTACATTCTCATTTTTCTCTTTGGATTTTGTTGTTATCAATTACTTGTACTATTTTTTCTCTCTGCCAACAAGATAGCATGACAATCTAATATTCTATTTTTTTGGTCGCAAGTTTCCTGTTGGATTTTTGTTGGCTTCATGTGCTCATTGTTTTATCTATCTATAGGTTTTGAAGGCACAGGCACGGGCAAAATCCGAAAAGTACACTGAGGTTTTGTACTTAGATTCTATTCACAAAAAGTATTTGGAGGAAGTTTCAGCTGCTAACATTTTTCTTGTGAAGGTATATCATATATTGGTATTGAATGTCAAGCTGGTTCAACTGTTTTTTGGCAGAATGGCTGATCATTTGCATTTGTTTGAGTGCCATATCAATCTTAACTATTGTGTTGGATTTCTTTTGTGCCTTCCATTGCTCTTTAATAAATTGCTTTGGCTGTCAATCGAATGTCCAAGTTGTATGCTTTTATTCCCAGGAAGTGTATATGAGTTGTGTAGTTCTCGCTGATTTATCTTTAGAATCTTGAGACACCACCTTGTTGTACTATTATTTGACACTTCAATGATCTAAAACTTGGAAACAAACTTGGATGCAAGTTTAGCATCCATGCGTTCTCTATGATAGGATATGACTTATATTTTTTGACAGTTTATTTTCTAAAGTTGAGATGGAAGTCTCCAGGCTTTGCATTGTCATGTGCATGTGTCCATTAAAGCAGTGGTGTTTTCATTGAAATACCGATTGAAAATTTTCTATCTTCTCTTTAGTTTCACCACTTGGATTACTTATAAATGTCCAAATACATAATGAAAAATAATAAAAACACAGAATCCCAAGGACTCTCACTTGTTACGACTTTAGCCATTCTTTTATTACACAAATAAAATAGCAAAAACTTGATCTTGGGATCATGGAGCACATTATACTCATGGGAATAAAAGATCACAAGAAAGCATAAAAGGAAGATGCCAGAGATTACCTCAACCGGGTTTAGTACACTCCACACAGGGTCTTCTTCCTAAATGGTACACAGGATCAATGGTCTATCACGGATCTACCAAGCATGGGAAAGCTTAAGGCATGGAACAATTAAGTGCATAAGGCTTCAATGCCTTCACCAAGTAAGTGGGGGGTGCCCCTTTTAATGCCTAAGTAGGGTGTAACCCCCTTCTAACCCCCTTTAGAGATCTTGAGATGAGATAGGAGAGAGATGAAACTCTAAGGTTGCATGCCACCCTTATAGAGAGAGAGAGTAGGGAGAGATGAGATTTGTGGTGTAGAGAATTATCGGAGAGGAGACCCTATTTATAGATTTTTCATGAGCTAGGGTACTCTTAGGTTTAGCCATCCTTAGTGAGATCTGATCCAGAATATTGATCATAAAAGACTTGTGGGGTGAAAGATATAAGCTATACATTCCTTAGATCAGTCATCATGATTAAAAGGAAGATGCTAGAACTTTATCCCCCAGCCTCTTAAATCTAATCCTATCAAATATTGTAATATGAAAAATATTCTCAATTTGACTATATTTTTCCATAACCTTCTTGCACAATATTTTGATTGAAATCAATCTTCCTTAAATTTCAAATCATACCAAAATATTTCAACTTGATTTGTTAGCCATGTTGCCTTGGCCAACTTTTAGTAAGGGTTGTGCCTTGAGTGGGTTGTGCCAACCTTGGTGGTTTTCATGTGGTCCCCACTTCAATCAAGTCATGTGCAATTTTTTTGATAAGAGGGGTGTTTCTTATTGAGAGGGACGTACCACCCTTAGGTTGCCACATGTGGGCTGGTCCTCTCAATCCCCCATGTGATTTAATTAATGGTTGGGCCATGTTCCATGGTGGGCCTCCATATGATTAGTGAATTATAAAATTCATATTTTCATTTTTTAAATATTGAGAAATGATTATCTCTGGATTTATAAATCCAATTTGTAAAATCTCTAGAGATTCACAAAAATTCAAATAATCAATCTAAAAATCATATATCAGTAAAATAATTAAAACCAAATAATTTTGATGGGAATTATAAAATTGCTGGAGCGCTCCTACCTTCTACTTTGGGCTATAATTTACACTTGCTTTTTCAAACTGATCCAGCAGTTCTCATGACCCACAGGCCACTGCAGGGGTTCATGATTGGGCTACCAAAGTCAGCTAATAGGCAAGAGACACAATCCTAGTTTATAGACTACAGGTTGTCCCCTAGAGACGAACTAAGGTCACCTAGACCTGATGCAACCACAATTTTATGGTATATAGGGATAATCTTTTGCACATGTACACGCTTCATCCCTAAAAGTGGTTCAATTTTTCGATACGGCTAGCATATATACATGCCGTGTGATGGTTCAGTGATGAGGCTTTGGCCCTCTTCTATAAAGGCCAACCATCGCACAAAAGGGTCACACAGTCCCTCGACTCACTCATCTAGGCAACTCCGACCTCATTAAGGGATGATCCACAAAACCCTCATCGGTTTAGTTCCATGCCCAGGTATTATGGGTTTTTCAACTCGACTGGCCTAGCACGTCATGTCAAGTCTGAGTATCGACAAATAACATTTGCTTAGTATGGTCCACTAAGGACCATACTCCCACTGAGTTTATATTCCATTATATCAGAATATTAGTTACATGCTCTCATAAGGCCTTTAATGGCCACAAAAATCCAACATCTCTCACTTGGCCTTTGAAGGCTTTACAATCTCTCTTCCTCACATTCTCATCCCCCAATTGCAATCTCTCTCAAGCATTTCTCACTTATTCTCTCTCATTATATTAACCCTGGTGAACTCTGTCGCCTGTCAAACCTTTCACAAAGGGTTTATGGATGCAGCTTCTGAGGGAGTCATGAAGTCTCTTTCTCTTTGCTGCTTCGATCACATCCTGAACGTGGTCGTAATCTATTTTTTCATATCGCATCGCGAATTTAGGACCCGTTGTCACTGAAGATCATCATGTATCCTGTGTAGCCATACAACCAGCACCACATATCCAAGTGCCATCGGTGAAACAACATTTTCAGCCATACAACTGGCACCACATATCCAAGTGCCATGGGTGAACAACATTTTTCAGTTGGCTCGCCAAACACTAGCAGGTACTCCCACTGGAATGTTAAGCTATCTGGATCTCTTATAATAGGATACCTGTATATTTGAATATCCAAGCAGCTAAAAATAATCGTAGGATTGTTAACAACTCTCACTCAAAACTAACATGTAAAAAACAAAAATTATCTCAGCATTCTCATGCCTGTCATGAGGTCGTATAGCAAGTCTCATACCAAATAGCAACTCGATGCCCATATGGTTTCGCAAATTGTAAAAACCATTTTTGCGAATCACAAAGGTTCAACCACACTAGTCTCTTGGTTGTAAATCCATACAAACCATGTTATCTTATCAACCCAACATGTGTCAAGGAAGCCTAGCAAGATGGCTATCCCATGACATACCATATGGTTTATGGTTTTAGGTAATCGAAGATTCTAAAGAACTCAAAAACAGGTCACATATTTGGTACTATGAAACATGAGTTGACATATGGGCATTTAAAAACTGTTCATAGATAAATTACACTTTCTCACATGTACATAAAATACTTTCAAGACCCAATATTTCTCCTCATAATAAAAACTCTTGACTTGGTATATTTTCACAAGCAATAGTTAGAAAAAAAACACGGTGGTTTAAATGATTTTCCATAAATACTTAGTGGGCCTAGGAAGACTATGGTGTTTCTCAAAGTCGTATCCATAGACCTAGGTTTTTCAACATAAAAGGTCCAATCCGATTTCCAAAAGAACTTACTTAGCCTTTATAATTTTTTGACCACATATACTTTTAATTACTTACCAAGTCATGTTATAGCCACAAAACAAATCATAAAATCCATCTATGATTTTATCTAAAATGAAACACTACTAAAAAGGTGTAGCAAAACTAACAAATATCCAAAATACACATATTTTCTTGGAAAATATTTGGAGGCTTTAACATGAGATCCTCATCACATGCAACACACCATTCTCATCAGACGTTATTGAGAGGATGTCACCAAGATTGGGTTCCATTAGAACACTCCCTTCATGCTACATATTTAAATGAGCCATACTCATCTTTCGTGTTTGATACTTAGGTCCATAGATCTTGATCAAACCACATGGAGTCTTTAACATGAGATCCTCATGACATGCAACACACCATTATCATCAGACATTATTGCGAGGATGGTTATCAAGACCGGTTTCTATCAGAACACTCCCTTTGTGCTACATATTTGAATGAGCCATACCCATCTTTCGTGTTTGATACTTAGGTCCGTAGATTTTGATCAAACCACATCTACATGTGTTTTATTACTTTAAGTAGTTCATGTACAAGCACAAAGAGTCACAAAAACACACGGTATTCAAAAACTGACAATTTCAAATTCGATAGCACCTATCAACTAATGTCCATATATTCCATTCATATTAAAAAACAAAGAGCCAAGATATAATCAAAGAAGTATATAGGAGATGAAAAGAAAATTTCATCCTCTTTCCCTGTATGACCTGACCATGCAAAAAAATTGGATAGATTTCATACCTTAAAACCATGTGGTGTGGTACTTGGGCTTTCTTGATCCTTGCTTTTCTTTGATGACGAACTTTTTATCATTTTGGAAGAGCGCAAAACTGATGGAGAATCTCTTGGTCATCGATTTTACATGGCAACAAAGTGGCCCTCTCTTCAGCACATGAATTCTCCCTTTCTCATACCATGAAGAAATCCTCTTCTTCATCATGTCCTTCCAAAAATCATAATTTTGATTCTCCCTCTGATATTTTAGAGTTTCTATACTTCTCCCAAGTCCCTTATATATATCCCTTTATTACAAAGAGAAACCAAGGTGCTTTTACATGCATTATGTTTTTTCTATTTATGCAGTTCCTAGATTTAGCACTCTTCACATAGAGTATCATATTTCCCAACATTACATTACATTTCTCTGAAGTTTTACTGTTAAAAAACCATACTCATGGCACAATCTGCTTTGAATGAGCCTGTAAAATGCTTCTATTATAAGTAGTACAAAGATGTGCCTTAACATGTCACATCTTTTGCTTTATTGTAGAATAGAAGATTAGCATCCCATGATAAAATTATGATATCTCTTCAACTGATAAAGAACTTATCTTTGAAACTTTTGAGTATGAAAACAGACTCAAATTTCAAAATCAATACTCAGTGCCATCCTCAAATCACACCACTAGTGAGTTTATCAATTA